TGTGGACACCCTGTGCAATGTTAAATCTTTATGAAGGAAGACATTCCAGCATTTCAGGTGTTAAAAGGCCCCAAAGTTTTTCTTTAAATGCAATCGCTGGGAAGAAGTCCAGTGCTCCAGCTTGAGGGATAATCGCGTGAGAGTCTGCAGCTCAGGAATTATCCTGATATAAACCATAGAATCTGTATCGAGGCCCCAAGGAATGTTCCCACACTGCTGTGCCTGTGGAGCCGGCCTGTAATAGCAGCTCACCAGGGCACAGGTTCAAGGGTTTAAAGGGGGAGGTTTCCAATGAATGTCAGAAACCTTTCTTTATATTAGAGAGTCGTCAACAGCTGAAACTGGTTATCGGAAGAGCAGGATGTTAGACCCGCTTTATATAACCATACGGCTCCCCAGATCATTTCTTGTTCTTCCAGTGTCTGGTTAATTTCCTCTTAAAAGAATTCATGGACTCACTTCATCCAAGGATGGATCCTAAGGAAGCCCGGGAAGAAATTTGTCAAAAAATCTGTCGAAAAGGAGAATTATTGCCAGAGGGCTGGAGTGTGGCAAATTCCACACCTTCTTTGACAGAGGAAACAGGAAATCATAAGCTAGTGTGTCTCAATGGGGTTGTTGGTGAAGTACTGTAATATGGTTTACGATATGGGATGGATACGTTACTAAGCACTTGGAGAAGCGCAAGTTAATCAGGGCCAGTTAGCAGGGACTTGTAAGACACGCTTGATAAAGTAACACATAAGAAACACACACCATGTGATGGCACATGAAATGAAGGGAAAAGTGTCTGGTTGTCATGGCGGTTTGCGCAACAGGCTGACGCATTGGCCCTCAAAACACACAGTCATGACATTTTACAGTACAAATATACAGTCAATTCACTTTACAGTATATTGTGAAGCTCTTTGAGACGTCTAGAAGACGTGAAAAGCGCTATATGAATTGCAAGGATTATTATTATACCCTGGGAAGCGCTTTGGGACATCATCCTGATATGAATATCATGACACTAAACATAAAGATTGATATTAATTTTATTGTTATAAATGCAAGGTGTTATCTCAGCACTGACTGAGTAAGATGTGTAATGATACTCCACACTGACTCCCCCACCCTGAGCTTGGGAAGGAAGCAGTCATGTAACCAACCATATGAGAGCGATGGTCACCTTAACCTAAAGGGCAGCGCTGTGCGTATTGCACTCTATGTCATCAGAACAATTTGGTCATTTAATCCACGACTGTTTGTGGGGACGTTGCTGTGCGCAATTGGCTGCCGCTATTCTCTCCTAGGCCCAAAGCACCACAGCCCAGTGACTATCACAGTGGGGAACACTTGCTAGCGAGAACCCTCGCTGCCAACTTTGCATTCTTACCAAAGAGTTAACAAAACAAAGGGTGGGCCAATAACAAAATCTGTAATTATATTTAATAACAGTCATTTGCAAATCACAAAAGACTTCAGGAATTGCTCAGGAATGTAACAAGACGGAGCCTGAAATACTGATCATCACAATAAACTGCATTTCTCCCAGACATTGGTGAGTGAGCCAGGGAATGTCAGGCGAGGAATGTTAAGAGACCCAGTTTCCCCTCCTGACACATTGACACAAGAGGCCATCAGAGCATCAGACGTGAAGGACATCAGAGCTGAGCTCCATCCTGTCCCTGCCTGAGGCCTCGAGCAGAGCTCACTGCTCAGGGATGGAGTCTATGCCTGCAGGGTGACCAGATTTCCTAAACCAAATCCGGGGACACGTACATAAAAATAAGGAAACGCACCACAATTCCTGATGCTGGCAGTCACTGGAGTAGCATGTTGTATTAATGGCTGTGTTTCTCTGATGAGTGTATCTGTTTGAGAATGTTATTGTTCTTGTTCAGTTTGTGGCTGAACTCACTCGAGTAAGGGCATATTTGGCCCAGGAAACATAGGAACAGGAGTGGGCCATTCAGCCCCTCGAGCCTGTTCTGCCATTCTATTAGATTACAGCTGATCTGTACTAGTCAGTAAATTAGGGACACAATACCTCATGCAGGGACTGTGCCTGGAAATCATGGACATATGGTCACCCTACAGCTGATTCCCTCTGGTTCTCTTGCCCAAAGGCACTGAGCTCAGTCATAACCCAATTAATGCCCAAGTTGATGGATTAACTCAGCACAGACCAGTGAAGCGTGAGCCCTTCCTGCTCTGCACAGCTCCACACCGCACCTTGGGATTCATTCACTCAGTCAGTAAATCACAGCAACTAACTCCAGTTCGACAAAAAATATAACCTGTAACAATTAAACACACGCCATCAACGTACCATAAATTAGTCCTCATCCGTGTGTAGCTAAATACGCTGCCCAAAAACATGTTTCCCTTTCACATGAGATTCACAAATCCTCAGATAAAATGTAATCTAAAGGCCAGTAACTGGGTAAGTGTCAATATTACTATATACAGTGTACAATGGGATGAAGTCCACATGGCACACACGCTGGGGAGATTAGAAAATGTCATTGCACAGAGGGAGGTTGGAATGTGGAATTCTTTGCCACGAGCTTGCTGAGGCAGAGTCCATAAACTCTTTTATAGTAACTAGATGCTTATGAAGTTAGAACATTAAAAGGTGGAGCGATCGAGCAGGAGAGTGCGATCAAATTAGATGGCTCATGAAAAGCATCCTGTCTGCGTACTGTAACATCCTGCGATTCTACGGGCAATGATAGGGTCACAGGAATTGCCTCAGCCAGACTGTGCCAGCCACTAACTCCTGGGTCAGCAACCAATGTCCAGGTCAGTGGGTAGGAAGAGAAATTTTAACATTGAAAAACATTTTGTCTGCAAAATACACAGTCAACCCCCCCGCCCCCACCCACATCACAGTTTATCCTGTGAGGAGCTTTGAGATGTCTCAATGACATAATAAGAAACTGTATCAAATGCAAGGATTACTATTATTATTATTACTTTTAGGATGCTGTTTTCCCTGACATTGACACAGCGTGTGAGAGGAGAGTGACAGCGAGGTTGATCAGGTGGCCAGTCTATGATTCGCACTCTAGCAAACAGAGTTATTTGCACAGGAGAGGTCAGTGAGCTGAGAAATATCTGGGACTGATTGACCTATAGGCAGCTTCACTCAGCTTGTGATACTGCCTTCCTCCGAATCTCTAAACAAGGTCCACTCATCTCCCAAAGACTGACTCTGGCTAGGGCGATGGGCAATGCCAGTCTGCTCTTACCCACTGCTCTTCCAAATAGTCAGCAAAGGCAGCCAAGACCTGGGCAGCATCTGGCAGCAATCGCTGAATCCCACTGCAATACAGAGCCTTATCTCATCATCAGAACATCTCAAAATGCTTCAAAGAATTTACCGTACAATTTAGTGACGGCATTTATTGGTAAACGTGGCAGTTAATTTGTGCATAACAATGTCCCACAAACAGCCATGAAATTAATGACTAATTTTTTTTTAACTGGGGGATTGTTGGCCAGGACACAGTGCCACAGGATCTTTAACATTCACCAGACAGACGGCATCTGGGTTTAATGTCTCATCTAAAGGACGGCACCTTCAACAATGAAACACCCGCCCACCCCCCAGCACTGTGTCAGAGTGTCTGGCTACACTCTGAGTCCTGACATGAAGATTTGCTACCAACTGAGCCAGCCTGACACTTTATTATTAAAGTTATTAATTTGCACCCAAATCACAAGGTCACTTCACTTTATAGAATATCCTGTGAAGCTCTTTGAGACGTCCTCCTGATACGAAAGGCGCTATATCAAGTGTGAGGATTATTATAACTCGGCACATCTTAAAGAGCCAACAGAATAGCCATTTGGTTCAACTGAAAATTACTTTCAGTTTCTATATTGTTATTGTAGCACAGAAACAGACCAGTAATATCTGCACTATTTTGTTTTCTCCATTTGAACCATTTAATCCAACCCCTCTCTCCTGCTCACACACACACTCTAATAATATTCCTCCACTTCCAGTCTGCCTAATTATAAAGGAATGATGGACTCTGGCTGGTAGTTACACCAGGTTTCACCTCAAACGTGTCCATAGAGAACAAAGGCAACACATCAAGTACCGTTTTACTCTTGTGTGGCCAACGCAGTCCACATCACCCGGATCTAAAGCTACATCAGATCACGGTCACCTTTTATACATATAAAAGCTATGAAATCCACAGAAAATAAAAACATTTTTGAATATAAAATACAAAAATATTGAATTTAACATATCTGATTTGGCTTTCAGTCTTGCTGGGCGGCTTTGGTCAAGTCATGCCAACGCCAATCAGTGTCTTTGTGTTTCCAGGTGAAGGTTGAGTGGCGGCAGCTCAGTTGGACGGTGCACTGTTCCATGTTTGAGAGGAGGCAGGATCTTCAATGTCAAAGTGGCCAGACATTGGCCTCAGACTTCAAGCGCTCCGAGACTTTACCCTGCGAGAGGGGTGCTGTTTTTGTCCAGAATCAACTTCTTTTACCCCTTGAGAAGTGCACGTCCCTCCCCTACCCCACCCCACCAACCCCGTTAGTTCACACTCAGCACTAAATGGTGGGACTTCAACACAAAGTCCTGAGTCACGTGATCAGAGATCTGGACTGGCTCCATGTGAGGGTTTTGTTGAAGTTAATCACTGTTAACGAACTAACTAACTAACTAATGCCTGGCAAAATACTGCAGATGCCTGAAATCTGAAATAAAGACACAATTCCCTGGGAACACTCAGCAGGTCAGGCAGCATCTATGGAGAGAGAGAGAGGAGTGTGAGTTTAACGTTTTGGGTCCACGACCCTTCGTCAGAACTTCCTGAAACGTTAATCCACTTTCCTCTCTCCATAGATGCTGCCTGACCTGCTGAGGGTTCCCAGGGACTTCTATTTCTATAACTAATGCCTCTGTTGTTTTGCATTTCCTGTTGCTATATTTGCAATGATACAGCTGGGCGGTGGTGGGGGGAGAGGGCGGGAGGGGAGAGGGCGGGGGTTGGTGGGAGGGGGGAAGATGGGTAAATCCCTGTCCAGACAAGGTTGAAGTATTTCTCCCTGGTGCACACACACACACACATCCACCCCCACTGTACATATAAAAACAGTTTTTTTTCCTCTGAGGCCAGCGTGGGCTCAGTACTGTCCCTCGGAGTTGGGGCTCCAGGTCCGATGTGACCTCTGTCCCCCGTTGGGGAGGGTCTCCAGCTCGTAGCGATGACACCCGCTGCCCAGGATGTCGGGCTGGCCGCTCCGCCAGATCTCACGGATGATCCGCTCGCGTTCCTCCAGCAGCTGCGCCCGCTCCAGCTCCTCCGCGGATGTGAAGACGTTGACGCTGGATGTGGTGTGAGCCTCAGTGTGGTTGGCCAGCGCTAAGTCTGTCGTGGGAGGAGGCCCGCCATCCGCCTCCTCCTCCTCATCATCATCATCCTCCTCCTCTTCCTCCTCGTCCTCACTGCCTTCCTCCATCTTCTTCACCGGAGCGGGTGGTTTGGCGAAGGTGTGGCAGGAAATCCGAATCACCAAGAGGCAAAGAGTCAGAACGAGACCAAAGCAGATCCCAGTGACGAAGTACAAGGCAGCCTTCTCCGGGTTAACTGTGACAGAGGGGAAAAGAGACACAGAGTTAGATTCATACCAAGGGTTTGGGTGGAGGTCATCAACAGCACCCAGAGGTGAGTGAGCTCTCTAGAGGAAACTACAATAACAACATTTGTATTTATTGTAAATTTGTCAGGAGAACATCGCTAGATACAGTAGATATCTAAAGAGGAATAGTTCTCCAAGGTTATGGGGTGGTGGGTGGGGCAGGGGGGGGTGGGGTGGGGGAAGGCAGGTCAATGGGACTGGGAGTCCTCTTTCAAAGGACCAGCATAAACATAATGGATTCAATGGCCTTCTGTGCTGTACACTTCTATGGTTCAATCCTAATATTTTCACCTGTGTCCTATCCCGTTTGGTCCTGCCAGAGAACTATAATAATAATAATGATGATGATAATCCTTGCATTTAAAACAACACCTTTCACTTTGGGATAATGTCTTTGCTTCACAGGATTTACTGGAAAGGAGAGCGTCAGCATATTTTACAAGCCAATGCGATAGCCAATTTATACACAACAAAGAGAATTGGCAATTGTATTTTGGGAAATGTGGGTCATCAGTCTGCAACAGAGTTCTTTAACGCATCCAAAGAAGTTTCTCAATAAAGTAGCACGTGATATACAGGGAGAGCCAGTTAAGAAGTGCCTCAGAAGAGGTTGGATCTACAGTGAAATGATACTGGAAGGTAATTCACCCAGCTTCTGACACTGACAAGACAGCTTCCCGTCATTGAAACAACAGCAGAGGTTAAGGAGTAATTTGATTGAGGTTTGTAAAATACTGTAATGGATTGCCAGGTTAAATAATTGATGATTCTTCCCTTCCCGCTAGCAAAGGCATCCATTACCAGGAGGCCCTATCCTCAAATCAGAGCCAAAAATGTGAGAACTGAGGTCAGGTCACAATTCTTCACAAGAGGTTGTGAAGATGTAAAATTCCCTCCTCCTTCAAAGCTGTAGGCAAAATCAATGGGTCTGTTTATAAAATACAGGATACTTGGGCAGAAGAGCTATGGACAAGTACATCAGCAACAATCTGTACCTGTACAGTGCGGGTGGAGGTGACTGAAGGAGCAATCAGAGAGACAGGTTTTTAGATGTGGCTTGAAAGCTGAGATGGAAAACGAGGCAGAGAGATTTTTATAATAATTATAATCCTTGCATTTGATATAGCATCTTATCTCGTCTTTGAGACGTCTCAAAGCGCTTCACAGAATATACTGTAAAGTGTAGTGACTCTATACTTTGATTTGAGAAGCGAGTTTTATAGGGCTCCAATGAAACAGACCCAACGTCTCCAATCTCTCCTCATAACTGCAGCCCCTTATCCCTGGGATCATTCACGTAAACCTCCTTGGCACCCCCTCCAAGGTTTTGCTATGAGGATAGAGCAGGGCAGTGGGACAAAATGGACACCTTGCTTTGAGAGCTGGTGCAAACTCAATGAGCTGAATGGCCTCCTGCGCTGTAAATGCCTATGATTCTATGTTGACTGTCTTTGCGGCTCAGTGAAACTGTGGGATTAGACATGATGTTGGTCTGCAGTGTCTACAGATAGGCTTACGGTGTTTACAACACTATCCGCAATGTATTCATAGCTCAGGAACAGGCCATTCGGCCCATCCTGTCCGGCTGTTGTTTGTCCTCCACCCGAGGCCCATCCTAGATCCCATCCCTAATCCCCTTATTCCAGCCCTTTCTACGTATCCCTCAACTTTATTCTCTCTTAACCACGTGTCTGTCCAGTCTTTTGTTTTGAAGGTTTGCCTGGTTGCCGCCCCAATTTGTGGGATTGTGGCAGAGAATTCCACGCTCTGTGTGAAAAAATTCCTCCTAATCTCCGTTCTGTACCTCTCAGTCGTGATTCTAAAATTATGCCCACTAATTCCAGACCTCATGACCACTGGAAAGAATCTTTCCCCATCCACCCTGTCTAAGCCTCCCATCATCTTATACACTTCTATCAGATCCCCTCTCACCCTTCTGAGCTTCAAAGAAAATAGCCCATGTTTATCTAGCCTTTCCTTATAGCCTGATTCCTTGTGTAACTTTATATGTGATGTATGATGCTGTATCTGTCCGTGTTACATGACACAACAACAAATTACATTTGCATACAACAACAACAACAACAAGATTCCATTTATAAAGCGCCTTTCACGTCGAGAAGACGTCCCAACAATACGTGAGTTTACACAGAGGAGCCCCTTCCCTCCCCAGGAGCTGTGCACTTACACACAATGTGTGCGTAGGCAGCCAGGGTGTTGCTGACGAGAGCCATCTCTGTTTTGGGGCTGTCCATTCGTCTGTTTCCTGTTCTTCAGACCCTGCGACCGACGAATCTTTGACCTGAGAACAGATGATGGGATAGAATGGGATCACATTTGTCTTTGTCAATGTGGATCTTGGAATATCGGAATCATATAGTCTAACCTGATGCTCCAATGCAGCACTGGGGGGGTTTGCATTGTTGGAGGTGCCGTCCTTCTAATGAGACATTAAACCAAGGCCCCATCTGCCTGTTCAGTTGGACATTAAAGTTCCCGTGGTGCTATTCAAAAAAACAAGGGAGTTTCTTCTGGTTCCTGGCTAACAGTCCCACCAAATAAAATTGGTCACTCACTCCATGGCTGTTTGTGGGACATTGCCATGCGCAAACTGGCTAAAATACCCATAAAATACAGTCACTACACTTTACAATGTGAAGCGCTTTGAGACGCCTCGACGACTTGATAGGGTGCTATATCAAATGCAAAGATTATTGTTATATATCTTTCCAACTCATAGACCGCCAGAAGGCGAACTAGATGAACCTTGGTCTTTTCGTTGTCTAGCATTTCTTATGTCCTTATGTAGATGATAGCGTCGATGTCAGCAATAGAACAGAGCGACTCCTGATATAGAGTGAATAATAATAATAAAAAAATCCTTGCATTTGATATAGCGCTTTTCACGTCTTCTAAACATTTCAAAGCGCTTCATAGAATATGCTGTAAAGTGAATTGACTGTACATTTGTGGGCGAAACACGGCAACCAATTGCGCACAGCAGCGTCCCCCACAAACAGTCGTAGATTGAAAATGACCATTTTATTATTGTTTTTTTTTGGAGGGATTATTATTGAATGGGATAATTTCAGGGGAGAGCACAGGGCTCTGCCTGGTTTCCGAGCAGAGCTCTGGGTAACTCTATTCTTGTTGTGATTAAATCACTGAACTATTTGAATCAACAGTGGCTTGGAAGAGCGGCAATTTTGTACCCCGAGATAACTCAAACTGTGATCCAAACACAACTTTCACAGCGAGCAAGTGAGCACCCGGCTTTAATTAACTGGTTGGTTCTCTTCATGACGGCTGATTAATACTCCAGGAGGGAGCTCTCGTGCTGACAAACACTCGGCTTTTTAGATCATTTGAGAAACGCACACTGAATATAAATCAGGAGCTCGGGGGCATTTTTTTCCCTCTCTCTTGGACAATCTGTGTCCCAGACACACAAGCTGCGAATCCAGAGTGAAATAATTCTTCTGAGTACGATAGCAGATGGGTTTTTTTGCTTTTTGAAGCAATTTTCTTTGGGTTTAATCGCTTTTCCTTCAGCTTTTCCCTCTTCTTTGCTGAACGGCTAACTCTCAACACGGCGCCGTCTGCCTTGTGTTACCTCACCCAAGTGACCATTCTTCATACATAAACCCAGACAATGAACAGTGGGATATTTATTCGCTAATAATCCTTGCATTTGATACAGTGCCTTTCATGTCGGGAGGACGACTCAAAGTGTTTCTCAGCATTTACTGCAATAATAATCCTTGCATTTGCTATGGCGCCTTATCACATCGTTGAGACATCTCAAAGCACTTCACAGGATATACTGTGAAGTGTAGTGACTGTGTATTTAAACACGGTGACCATCACAGCCCATCCTGATATTCCTCACCCCTTTGGACGGTGGGGGGTGGAGCTCTGGATAGTGCTAACGAGCAGGAATTCTGGCTACTGTCCCATTGAGATAAACACTGGCAACCTTCCTCACGGCAGAGTTCCACAGAGAGTGTTTTATTGACTAAATGTGACATTGTCTGTGTGGCTGACAGTGGGATGCTGCTATGTGCAAATTGGTTGCTGTGTTCGTCCACATAATACTGTCACTACACTATACTGTAAATTCTGTGAAATGCTTGGAGATGTTCTTCCAATGCAAAAGATCCCACCTCAAAGGCAGGATTCTACTTATTATTAGCGGGTTCTTATTACTGGTGAAAACGCTCGACTGCCAGCACCTTGGCATGTCATCCCAACTTGAAAGGCAATGTATAAATACAATTTGTTGTTATTATTTAAAACTGGAAATTGTATATTGGTATGTGCGCGCATGCTCTCTGGCATGTTGGTATGTGTGTGCATGCTCTCTGTTCATATGTGTTTCTAAACACATACATACATGCAGAGCTGGTAGGGTATTTGACCAATATGTATGGCTGTGTGTGTAATATTTGTGTGTATATACAAAAAGGTGTCTGTGCATGTGATGTCTGTGTGTGTTTGTACATGGAGTGTGCATTATTCTGCATCTGTGGATGTGGTATGTGTCTGCCTAATTTGTGTGTGCATATATCTGTTTACAAAATCTGTGTGTCGGTCTATATGGCTTGTGTGTGTGATAGAATCATGGAAATTCACAATTATTATTACCATTTGGACATGATGATATGTGCTCTTATTTTTACCCTAAGGGTTAATAGGATGTGCAACACAAGTGGTTTCTGGAGTTGTGCGAATTCCATTTAAATGAGAGGTTCATAAATCCTTGGAGAAGGAAGAAATAAAGGTTTGGGAAATTTAAAAACTCGAGGCAACTAGTCCAGTATCCATCCACAACAACAACAACTTGCATTTATATAGCACCCGTCACGGGACTACTGAGCTCCCCCTTTCTCGTTCTCTTCCCCAGAATCCACGTCACACTGGCTCAACCAGAACTCACTCCAACCTGATTATGGTCAGAGATGTCTGGGTCACATGCTCCCACTTAACAACAAAAATAATCCTTAGATCTGGTATAGCGCCTTTCACATCGATAGGACTTCCTAAAGTGCTTCACACGATACAATGTAAAGGGCAAATGAACCCCCACTCAGGAACCTCAATTGCCACGTTTTACATCCTCAGGTACCCAGAAGCACTGCTTTATAGTTCGGACATGGGTGGAATTGGAAATAGAATGCTCACCTGGAGGACGGACAGGAAGGAGATAATGTTCGTGAGAAGAGAGTGTCAGTCCTGATCAGCTGGCATCGTCCAGGGGTGGGTGAGAGCACGAAGAGAAGCAGTGACGATCTGGAGAGACTTCGCCCAGGCTCTCGCTTCACTCTGATGATCACTATCAGCCAGAACTTTGTCTGTAAAAGAAAACAAAGTACTGAGTTTATCTCACACAGCTGATAGACACAGAGTAAGAGAGTGGAAACACCCAAATTGCCATAAGTTGACATCAAAAAGACTTGAGCTTCCTCAGAAGTTTCTCCTTCTCCTCTCCTCTCCATAGGTCAGTCTAGACCAGTGGCGGTCAAAGTCCCTGTGTTCCATCAATCAATGCGTTTCCAGCTTTTTTCTTCATTGAATTCTCTTGAATTATGGCATTAATCAAGAAATATATCAATCAGTGAATGCCAATGACCCCGTCACCATGGTGCCATCACAGCCAGTTTGGCTTGGTCAGTTACGCTCTCTTGCCTGTGCGTCAGAAGTTGTGGTTACGAGCCCTATTTGGGGGCTTGAGCTTATCGTCCAAACTGCCTTTCCAGTATAGAACTGGGAGAGCGTTGTACCGATGGAGACGTCATCCTTTGGATGAGATGTTAAAACTGAAATCCTTTCTGCTTATTGAAACATTAAGGATCCCACGACACTATTGGAAAAGAGAACAATTCGGGATCCTGTGACTTACCAATACGCATGACTCACTTCGAAACCAGACGGTGCGTTTAGCAACTAAGTTATCAAGCCATCACAGCCCTGGTGTGATAACAGAGTATGCAGGAACTAACATGTGCCAGTGATGGGATGTTCGATTGAGTGTTACTTAATCTCATGTATTTCCACTTTAAGAATAAGCTGTGCTTTCTCTGGTATGCAAACGGCAATTCCCTAGCTCCGAGCTTGGAAGATAAACCCAGAGCTTTTTGGCTCTGAGCAAATGGTTTCAAATATTTCCTGTTATGTCCTTAACCTCCTCTAAATTCTTAGGAGCAATCACCAAAATTAAACTCTGTAGAGGTCCCTGGAGAAAGTGGAAAAGAGTGGCTTGAAACGGGGTTCAAAGAACAGCAGGTTTTGGGTCAGAAACCAACGGATTCCATCACTTGTAAACTCGGGGGAATCATTTTCCGAACAATTAGAGTGAAATGTTACTCCATCCTTGATGTGCAGGGACACAGGATAGGCTCTAATTCTGGAGGAAACCTTTTCCATCAATAAAACTGGCGTCTGGATCCGATTCTGAGCTGTGGGAATTTTGGTTGCAAATATTAACAAATGTGAAGCATAAGAAAGCACCTGGAATCACTCGTGTTTCAGTCCTGACTATATTCCTGAGTGGCCAGTGTCCTGACTGGCAGGAGCAGCCACACAGCTCTCTACAGGGGGACTGAAAAGTCATGATACCATAACAATGTCTAATAAGTCGTCCAGAAATTATGATTTTTTTTAGATAATAGAGTAGCTGAAAAATAAGACTTTTTGGTCACCTATACATATAGAGGAGATTCAACAACAACAACTTGCATCTATTTAGCGTCCTTCACGCAGGGTAGCGTCTCGGAGTGCTTGACAATTGCTGAGCTTGACCATTGGCCCAGTCAACGAGGAAAACAGGCCACAAGGTGGGGTCCCGTAACTTAGTGGTTAGCAACCGAGAGAACCCGGGTCCGATTCTGGGACAGGGCAAAACCTTAGCAAGTTTCCTTGCTCCACACATCTCTGTTTACCTGGCAGTGAACCCTAAAAAAAATTGTTCACTTGATCCACGATTTGTGGGATGCTGCTGTGTGCAATTGTCTACTGAGTTTCGCCCACAAAATACAACAACAACAACAACAACAAGATTCCATTTACAAAGCGCCTTTCACGTCAGGAGGACGTCCCAAGGCGCTGCACAGTTGGGTCATGACCCGAGCAGGGGGAAAATGGTCAGGGTGAGGGGAGGGAGCGAGGAGGGGGAAGAGAGTCGAGAGGGGAGCTGAAGGCACGGTCAAAGAGAAAGGTTTTGAGACCGGCCTTGAAGGAGGAGAGGGAGGAAGCGGCGAAGGCACTGGGGGATAGAGTTCCAGAGCCTCGGGGCTGAGAGGCTGAAGGCCACCGATGGTAGGACGGTTGGGGCGGGGGGTGTGGAGCAGACCGGAGCCAGAGGGATGGAGGGTATGGGCAGGTAGGTAGGGGGATAGTAGGTTGGAGAGGTAGGAGGGAGCAAGGCCGTGAATGGCCTTGTAGGTGAGGATGAGGATCTTGAATTCGATCCTCTGGGGGATGGGGAGCCAGTGGAGGCGAGCGAGGGTGGGAGTGATGTGGTCTCGGTGCCTGGTGCGGGACAGTACACGAGCTGCAGAGTTCTGAATGACCTGCAGTGTGGAGGGAGGTGGCGGGAAGGCCGGCGAGGAGAGAGTTCCCATAGTCCAGCCTTGAGGTGACAAAGGCGTGGACCAGGGTTTCAGCAGCGTGAGGGGTGAGGTAATGGCGTAGTCTGGCGATGTTCCGGAGTCAATACACAGTCAATCTACTTTACAATACATCCCGTGAAGGGCTTTGAGACGGTTCGATGACGTAATAAGGCGCTATATAAATGCAAGATTGCTTATTATTTATTATAAAGCAAAGGGATTGCAGCAGAGATTTCATGAGGATGTTATCAAGGATGAGAAGCTTTACTTGTGAGGAGTGACGGGAGAAACTGGGATCACTGGAACAAAGAAAGAAGGTTGAGAGACTCAACGGTGGTGTTCAAAATTGAGGGGTTTTGATGAGAATTATTTCCAGTAGTTGTAGAATTAGTAACTGATGGGCATATTGTTAAAATAATTTTTTAAAAAAACAATTTTTTTTCACATAGATCATTAGGGCATGAAATGTCAAACACTGCAGTTAAAGTTGAATCCATATTACTGTGGTTTTAAAAGGATAAATATTTCAAAACGAACAGCATAAAGTGCCTGGAGAAAGGGCAGGGAAGTGAGGTAAATGAACAGGCAGATGGGACCTCGGTTTAATGTCTCATCTTTTCGAATAGTGCCATGGGATCTTTAACATCCAACTGAACAGACAAAGGATGAAATGTTAAACCAAGGTTCCATCTGCCTGTTCAGTTGGATGTTAAAGATCCCATGGCACTATTCGAAAAGAGGAGAGAGTTTCTCTCTCCCAGTGTCCTGGCCGACAAATAAAATTGGTCACTCACTCCATGGATGTTTGTGGCACATTGCTGTGTGCAACTGGCTGCCACGTTACTCCCATGAAATACAGTCCCTCCACTTTACAGTACATCCTGTGAAGCGTCTCAACATCGTTATAGGCACTATGTCAAATGCAAGGATTATTATTATTACAAATGGGTACCTCTTTTAGAGTGTCCCAGAGCTCAGAGAGATACACTGTGGAGCAGTCCACTGTACAGATGTGTGTGTAGAGATTGTGTATTGGGGCTCGAACGTTTGTGGGAACATTGAAGTCGGGATGTAAATCACACCCCGGGGTGGAACACATGCATACATCACCGCTCAGGCACTGGCTGCAGGTCCAGAAACAACACAGCACATGCATATTTCAGCGAAACTCAGGACACTAAATGACAGCAGTGCACCAGGGTGCTCGCTCTCCAGTTACACAGCTCATAACCTGGGGTTGTTACCTACGGATTCACGTGGAATTGTATTTCACAGCAAGCACATCTCCTAACATATACGGTGTGCGTATATATTAGGAAATGTGGATTCCAAATGCGGATTCTGTTGAGGTGTGCCCCACAAGTCTACCGACTGCAATCCCAAGCCTGAGGCCTCCTAGTTTGATGTTATACATTGCATCCCTCAGAGCTGCGTTAAAAGCTGACCAGAGAGAAAGAACACATAGCAGCGCCTTGGGGAGGAGGCTCTTGGAGTTTGGGCTCTTGGGATCTAATGATTGATCCTCATCCCGGTCATGTGACATAGCCACTCGGGGCAGGAAGGCTCCGGTTCTGCTCAGGTTTGAGCTGACAGAGCTGACCTCAGGCAGGGCATTCGTTGGGATTGTTTGCCTGGGACGAGGTTGTTTGACTGTCGGGAAAAGCACGTCACAAGCCAGCTGGACCCTCTCCTCACACCCACACACACACACTCTGCAGTGTGAATCACAGTCGGGGAACGGGAATAGGCCTCTGGCTATTGGCAACTAACCGTAGTTAGAATACAGTTCAGTTACAGTCAGGACTAAGTTTAACATCCCGAGTGCACTCGGGCTCAGAGCAGGCAAATCTACACAGACCTTTCAGGGTCAATGCATCGTCCAACACTTTCTTTCTTTGTACCAGTGGTGGCCAAGTCGTGGCCCATGGGCCGGAAATGGCCCTTAGGGCCGTGATTCACCCCAATCCAGGCCAGTCTGTTCCAAATCAAAGCCTTGTTTCCAGTAGCTGCAGAGCAGCAATACACTTGGCGCAGCCATGAATCAAGAAATATTCAATCAAGAAAACGTATTAGGTTGGCCGACCACTGGGTTGTACAAACAATTGGGTTGTAAGCAGGTTTAAATAGCTGGGAAGTTAACTTGTTTTCATTTCACTTGTGAGCGAGTTCTGTGGGATCTATTCCTCTCTGAGAGCAGCTCCATATGTTTGGAGCAGGAATGTAAAGCAATTCCCAATGAGTTATCCTGGCCCAGCATCAAGGGCAAAGGGTGAGAAACAAGAACAACAACAGATTCTTATTACGTTGACTCTTTGGCCTCTGTGATGCTGCGCTCTCTCCAGACCATGTATTGGGGTTTCACTCAGGCTGTGAATACCCAGGTTAGCACAGCAAGGTCACATCTCTGCTTAATAATAATAATACAAACCACATTTAATATAGTGCCTTATCTTGTAAAAGTGCCTCAAAGTGCTTCACATAGTTTTCTGTAGTGTATTGGTTAGAGCACTCGTCTCGCAAGCGAGAGGACCCGGCGTTTGCTTCCCAGGCGGAGCGAAATCTTAGGCAAGTTTCCTTACTCTACACGCCTTTGTTTACCTAGCAGTAAGTAGGTTGTTGGCCGATTGGTTGATTGTTTTCCGGGGGTAATAATCCCACAAAATATACAGTCAATTCACTTAACAGTATATTCTGTGAAGTGCCAGCCAATTGTTTGCACAATAATGTCCCTCAAACTGCCATAA